AGCCTCAGGGCTAAGGAGGCTGCACTGGGCTGCGGGCAGCCTGCTTCCTGGGCACCCTGAGGGGCTGGAGCCAGACTGGAGGGAGCCTCAGCACAGGGGCCTCTGGCCTACATGCACCAAGATTTCCTTTGGAAACCCTCTCTGTCACCAGACTCTGCTACAAGCACAACATCAATTGTTCCTCCTAGTTAAAGGGGAGACCTTAATTGGCACAAATTTGTCCCTTGGACTTTCTAGCCCAGAAAATGTCAGTGCTTGTAATCCCTGTTCTGCACTCCCTGCTCGGGCACCAAAACATTGGAACCTGCCAGAACATCTTGAATTAGCACCAACCTGCAGAGAGCTACAGGGGGAGAACCTACCCCCAACCACACAGGGACATTGATGGGCTGGGGCAGAGCTGAAACTAAAGTATTTTAATGCCAAGAGAGAGGATTTTTTATTGCTGAATTCATTCTCCCAGGACAAGAATGAAAGCTTTGTCTCCTCACCTGCCACACATGTCTGTTGCCAAGGTTTGCTTCTGGGTTATGACTGATTTTTATTAATCTCTTCAGAACTCTGATGCTCTTCCTGCCTAAGGTGCAGAGATGATATTTCAGATATTTCAGAGCCAGATGAGCTCAGCACAGCTTGTGCAACACGCAGAATTTCCAGACCCACGAGATTCAGGCCATGCAAACTAATATTTTTTCATCTCTGTGCAAAGATCACTGTAAGGATGTCAGTGATGCACCACACACTTCTCAGAGCTGTCCCTTCTATCCAGCTCTCCCCAGTCACTTCACACACTTCACTCCAAGCAGTTTCTGACAGAGTTCAGTAGCACATGGGATTTCATCCTGCTTTTTCTTCATTTTCTCCTGAGCTGTCTCCAGACACAGTGTGTGGGCACTGCAGCAGCATGAACGTGGCCCCTCCCTGACACTGAGATTCATGTCACAACTTTTCATCAAAAGCAGCAAAGAAATGATTCCCACTGGGTCCCACACGGCTCCCTGGCAACTTTGTGCTGCTGCAGCTCCAGCACCAGCCCTGGTGCACAGCAATTTCAGGAGACACACAGAAGGAATCAGCCATTCCCAGAGAAGAAACATCTGTTTGCATGGCCCAAATCCCCACAACACTGCAGACTGTGCTGACCCTGCACACTCTGCATTTGTACTTCAGCCTCTGTGCCTCACTTTTCCTCTCACTAAAGTCCCCCCAGTTTCCCTCATGCTCACATTCCCAAGAGAATTCAAAGCAGCATTAGGAGCAGGGAGTGATGATGGGAGCTGTCCCAAGGCTCAAGAAAATTTCTCAGGCCTGACAATTCTAGCCAAGGACAGAGGAAAAACCTGCATGAACGAGGTGTGAAATCAAAGCAGTCATCAAATTTAGGTAGAATGAGAGAAGCTAAAGAGGTTTTCAATATTTGCAACAAGATTAGCAGCTCCAGGCACAGGAGGGATGTGACATTTTCCCCACTGTAACAACTCTGGGATGCAAATTGCATCTCAAATCCTTCTCCCCAGCTCTGGGACTTGTTCAGCCCCCAACATGGTGCTGAATTTTACAAGCAAAGTGGAAGCTGGTCAGAGAGATGGCTTGCAAATCCAAATCACAGAGGACAGCTTGGAAGCAGCAGCCAGAGCAAAGAGAGGCAGAGCCTGGCCCTGGGGTGCAGCACAATGTTGTGGTTTAGATTTGCTAATTTCATTTCCCAGCCAACGCACCAAATAAATGTCATGGTTTTAAAGCAGTAGCTAA